TGAGCTCGCAAGGTTGAAAACCCGCAAAGGGCGGCCTTGGCAAAAGTTAGAGCGCAAAAGGAGAGTGAAAATACTCGAGCGAACCTTAGCCTGAACTACGTAAGGCTTGATTCCCATCTTTGGGATACGTAGGCAGCTTCACCTTGAAGTTCAGCCATAAACTTTTCCCCGATCAACTCTGTCCATTTCGATCATCTCAGTCATCTTTATCCATCAGCATTTATTGTGATCTCCGGTACAGTGCTGTTCAGACTAGAAGCAACTTTCCGTTGCCGCGACGGTGCAAAGTTACTCAGACAAGGGGGAACTTTCCGTTACCATGGAGTGCCGCATTGTTCTTCAGACTAGGGGCAACTTTCCAGTTGCAGGGATCTGGGGTTGTGCATCTCAGTGACAAATCTCCGGCGTGTCCAATTCTGATCCACATCGAAAATAGTTTTGAAAAGTTTTAATAAAAGTTGACTTTCTTCGAATCAATCTTTTTACGACTAAGACCATTTTTGGACCAAAAACGGAAAATTTTCAGTACCATAACTTTCAATTTCATTGATTTCAAAATAGAGCTCTCCTGCTCTTGCATTACAATCGAGGTTGCTTTTTTTAATACATTCAGAAAGAAAACTTGAAAATGCTAAATAAGCAATAAATTTGAGGCATAGTTGAATCAAGTATCTCTGCGTCCCCTTCCAGAGCTGGACGGAGCATCTGGTGCCAAGCTGGGCCCAACCTGTGCCTCCTCATTGAGCCAATCCACGCACTCATCAGACAACGTGCAACTGAAAGTTGAAACAGGGGCCAGAAGCTCTCTAGTCCTCCATGCCGTGGCATATCGGGCAAGCTGTGCACCCCGGATCGGGAAAGCGGCTGGATACTCAATCCCCTCCGGTGGGCAGGTCTGATCATGGCCAAACTGACGCAGGAACCGGAACGGAAAATAGAATACGCAGTGGGTTAGACCAACCAATTGGATCCCAATCAGCCGGGACATGCTATAGCTCATTGCCGGGAGGTTGAGCCAAGGGCAACGCCAGGCAATGCCGTCTGCGGACAAATTACACATCCAATCGAACCACCACCTTTCGTCGAGAGCATTGACAAGGCGCTGCCAAAAGAAGTAACCTCGAGCTGAGTAGGCCGGGCAAGAGTCCACGACCTGCAACTTATCCATCAACCATACCTAGGGGAGGGATGGAAAATGAGAGAATAAATAACAGAGAGATGTACGATGAGAGAAAAGTAAGACAAGGGTTTTGTGAGAAAAAAACGAGCCTGAGGGTCGAGCGATGTGAGCAAATATGTATGTGAGGTTGGGTGGGAAACATTACCTGCAGCAGCAGTGGACTCCCAGCAAACCTAGTCGCCTCCCGACGATAGATAGAATCTAAGCCCATCAGTGTCTCGGCTAAGGTCATGGCAATACAGCTCTTTCCTTCTCTCAAACCTTGGGCGACTTCAATCAGGCGAATGCTAGCCCCGCCGAAGCCCGAGGAAAGCAGAAAGTGAGACAACAAACATAAACAGAGGGCGTGTTGCCGGAAACCCTGCCAATAATGGTTGCTGCGGTCACCAGCGTCGGAAAAACGATGGATCAAGCCGAGGATGTCCAGTTCCCCACTGCAGATCAGAGATCGAGCGTCGTGCGCCGTGAGCCCACACATCCGCCCTAAAGCCTGGGCGTGACCAAAACGGGGCTGGGGCAAGATCACTTCCGAGCATTCGGACTCCATCAAAACCTGAAAGTCTTCGAAAGTGGGGCACATCTCTTGGCCGCCAAAGCTAAAAACATGTGTCACTGGATTCCAAAACCTTGCCGTGGCATGGAGAAAAGGGAGATGTAACGGAGTACGGCTCAGCGTGAATAGTGCATTTAAGCCGAAACCCCGGAAATTCAGCTTTTCCGAGCCATCTAGAGAAGAAATCCAAGATGTGACATTTTCTGCGAGAAACGCCTCCATCTATGGCTAAAACTAAGATGAAATGAATGTTCCCGAAGTTGAGGCTTTTATAGAAGGAAAAACACTATTCACGGGGACACGTGTCAAAAATCTGGTGGCTGCAGGACTGAATGGCCGGCCAGCCACTTTTTCTGGCTGGCCAGCCATTTACTTTTTCAGAAATTAGCTGGCCAGCCATTCTCTTTTTCAAAAATGGCCGGCCGGCCCCCAGGGATGGCTAACCATGCTGCAGTGTATCTCCTTGGCCCTGTTTTACCCTTCGAGGGAGAATTCCAAGTGTTTCCATACAACGGGAGAGTCAAAGGCCTCCGTTTCGGATGCGTTCCGGTGCCCAGATCGTCAGAAGTACACTTTGTCGTTGTTGAGTTTTGGTTATCGAGTTGTTGCATTTTGCTTATCGAGTTGTTTGTCGAGCGGACGCGTTTTGTGTTTTTGAGTCATTGCTCTCTGTTTAAGCAATTTTTGTTGAAGTTTTGTTTATTTGTGTTGTTGCATTTTGCTTATCGAGTTGTAAACTTTCTAAGGTCCTATTATATCTTAGTAAGTTGAGTTGTTTAGTTTGTTGCGTCGGTTCACTACCTGACTTAGTGATTGCACAATGCACATTACCATTCAATTTCATTTTTGTGCAAAATAAAATGATGCGATACGATGCTAAAAATACAAACACCTTTTCAAAAGTTATTTCATTTCATCATGCTTTACAACAAACAAAGGTACAAGTTTTACAAATAATAAAACTGCCTAACAATGTGCAAAGTGCTACAAACTACTAGCAAGAAAAGAAAAATAAAGCAGGAAATAGCAACATCAAAGTCCTCGGGAGTGAGAACGAGAAGCACTCCTCATCCTCTTCTGCGGGACAATCTCCACAGCATCATCATCATCTGAGTCGGAGCCGTCATCCTCAGGATCCCCCTCAGCCTCCTCCTCTTCCTCCCCGGCAGACGTCTCGAACTGACGATCGGTAGCCTCCTCCTCCTCCTCAGCATCCTCCTCCTCCTCATCAGGCTCCACCTCCACAACGTGAGCCCTGCGTCTGCAGACAGGCCCCCCTCGAGCTCCTCGAAAAGGCCTAGATGGCCCAGCTCCTCGGGATGGCCCCGCCCCCTGAAAAGGCCCAGATGGCCCAGCTCCCCAATGACGCCCAGGTGGCCTGGCCTGCGGCTGATCGGACCATGAAGGCATCTGAAAACAAAGAATTCAATCCAAATGCATCAGTCCAAATATATACATCAGATGCAGATACAAACAGAGGCTACGTGAAGTGGGTGCATGTATATACAGTGTACAAGTGGGGAGTGTGTCAGATGTGCTCTACACAAATAGTCTATCGATGTAGTAGAAATCAGTATGTCATCAGAAGTATGATAAATGCCATAAAACTGAAGGGTACCTGGATGCCCGCGACAGACAACTGTGCCTCCCTACGCAGGACCATGCCCTCGAGTGTGGCCACTAGTCCAACCACCTCCTCTATGTACCCTCGCGATGGCTGCAAAAATGAGCTCATAATCGTTAGTGAACAAAAGAGTGTCTAAACATCTGAATGATGAATGAAAAGTGGAGCATACCGGCGGTGAGTCCGGATCAATGGCGTATCGATCACTGGGCATCGGAGGCTCTAGCGGGATCGGGGTCGGAGAGCTAGCCCCATACTGCCACGCCATCAACTCAGTAGGCATATCTGGCCATCCGGGATGAGGATGAACCGACGGAGCCGGAGGGACCGGTCTACTCCCACCTCTAGATGTACCGGCCCTGCTAGTAGAAGGGGCGTCTGCAGCCCGAGCCCGAGCCTGGTCCGAGGATGACATACCGGTAGGCCTCATCATCGGGATACGAGCTTCCGTCAATGGAGGCATCAAATATATGTGACGGTAAGTGGCGTAGTCCCCCTCCTCAATGTATAGTAAAACATCAGTACCCAGCATGGCGCCGACTACCTCTGAGTAAGAGAGTCTGTCATTGGTCCGCATACTGGCTGGGGGTACTGCGGGAATATCCTGAGAAAGATACCCCCATACCTGGCGCAGAAAGTGTTCCCCCAGGAACCAGGCCCTGCCAACCGGCCCTTCGAGCAGGACCCTATATTGGGAGATGTCCGACGCTCCGGTGTACTGAAGTCGGAGACCATCACCCAAACACACCCAGGGCTGCCATGTGATCTGCGGATGACAAATGCATAAACCGATCAGAAATCAAGAATATACAGAGCAAGTCAAAGATGAAAATGAAAAGAACTGAAAGTTCTGAAGTACCTCTGAATGTCGCACTTCCAACACGTTTCCTCCCGCAGCGCTGTGTTTTCCGTTCAGCTCTTTTTACCTTAGTTTTCGACGAGCTGAGCACGCCGGGGAATCTCTGCGTTTTTCAGAGAGCGCGGTCAGCTCATTCTGCTTCTTTCACAATGGCTCGATGATTTTTACTCCTCTATTCTTTTCTGTAATTCCATTTACTTTTATTGCACTCCTCTCATGCTCAATTGAACCATTCGCAGTTTTTCTTAGTCCTTTGATCATCTTGAGTTACTTTTTGTCTTTTATATTGAGCCATTCTAGTTTTCAACACCTTGAATTTCCTGAAATCCTCGATTTCTCTTATAATTACCAATTTTGCGAACACTCCCAGCTCATCATCTTTAGAACACACTGCTCAAACCATTGATTTTTTGTTTCGAACACACAGCCTCTCTGAATTCGTAACTTAACACCAGTCCCCACTATTACATTTTTCTGAACATCGGCACGCCCAGATTAGATTATGTTCGAACCACGCAGTCCCCAATTAGTCTGTATAAATTCTATTTGACAATCCGCAGCCCAAACTTTAAATTTTCTCATCATGCAGGTCCCAGATTAGTATGTGAACTTACGTAGTTCTCCTACTAATTTAACTGCATAGTTAGCATTACACGGCAGCTCCAATTTCAAATTTCTTGATACACTGCATGCCCAGGTTTACGATAGTTGGACACACGTTCTGGTTAAGCCTATCAATTGTTGATTCTCGAACAGTATTTGACAACACGCTGCTCCCAATTTTACAATTTTCCTTTGATACACGCAGCCTCAGATTAGATTACAGTTGATATCACGCAAAGCCCGATCAAATTTCAACTGAAAGTGTGTAACATCGTGCAGTTTTCTCAAATTTTCATAATTTTTCTTCAACACGGCATGTCTCCAGATTTAGATTGTGACCGCAGTGACCAATATTATACCTGTACCAAGTTGAACTCGTCAGCTCAAAATTCTTGTCATTAGTTTTTCTGAACTTTACGCAGGCCCAGAGTAGTTACTGAACACGCAGCCACAAACATTATTGAAAGTGTGATCACGCAGCCTCAGGAATTTCATAAGTTTTTTCCTGAAACGCAGTCCAGGATATGAGTATGTGACACACTGCGCTCCTACATATTTAATGAATATTTGAAACACGCAGTCACCCAAATTATGCAAATTCTTCTGAACCACGCTGGCAGCCCAGTACTACGATTCTGATAACCGGCAGTTTCCCACACTTCAAGCTCTGACTATTCGCTTGGATTCACACGCAGCCCTAATTTTTAAACTTTTCCTGAATACGTCAGCCAGTGCTAGATAGTGAACTAGGCCAGTCCTCACATAATTAACTGACAAGTCTGTCAAACTACGCATGCTCCAAACTTTTTCAAATTTTCTGAACTCGCACCCAGGTATGATCTGCATGTAGCTACTTTCCAGTTCATTTCGGCACACAGCTCCATTATCATTTCCATTTGTCACAACAGCTTATGTTATTCATCATCATTGGCACATCAGGCCTATTCATATCATGGTCATCACATCTCGTCTCATCTCGATTGCAAATCAGCCTTATTTCATTGTCATTAATTTGGACAGCATGTATTCATTTTTGAATCAGTAGTCTGTTTGTTCTCCGACAGTGTGCGTGTCGGGATCATGGTTCCACCATTTTGCTGGTGGTTTGGTTGCTGATAGCTCCGTTTTTTTGAGGGTCTCTCATGAGATTGTGCTAGACCTTGTGCAGGTGTTTGGGCCTTCTACGTCTGTGTTGTCTCGTTGTCCTGCCAGGAGTGACTATTGATGGTCAGCTGTGGTAGAGAGATTGGTTGGGACCTACACCAATTCTTTTTCATTTCTCTCGCTACCCTGGGATTGAATGCTACATTGACCCCTTCTCGCTGACTGTCGCTGTAATTGATACCGGCTCTTACGTCGGATGTTGTGTTCATCCCTTGTTACGCTGAGGATTTTTATGGTGTGCGGCGTGATTTTTTGAGCCGCCTGCATGTATTATTGTTGTGTTTGGTGCTCGCTCCCGTTCTTGTTGACAGTGTTTTGGCTGGTAGAGGTCCGCTACACTTGGTTTTCCTCCATTTTCCGGCGGCGCTGGTAGATTTGGTTGGCCTGGAGTACTCCCGAGTAGACGGCTAGCAGCTATGCCGTCGTTGTTTCCTGCTATCGTTCTGCTCTCGTGGGTACTTACCCTTGTTCGGCCGACAGAGGGCAATCACCGCGGGTCTTTTTTACCTTTCTTTTCTGAGGCTTTTTAGTCGACCTATCACAGGCTTTAGTAGATTAGACTTTGGTGGTGGCGCCCGGCCTGGCTATCCGTTTTATCTTTATCATTGAGCCTGCGACCTCTCCGCGGGCGTGTGGTCGATTCTTTGCTGGGTGGCTCCTTGGAGAGCCTTGGGCATGGTATCTTTTCAGTCTGTTTTACTTTCTGCTGTTTCTTATTACTTGTATTCACTTGCAGCCCACATCAGCGCATTCTTACAGTCTTATTTTGCTTTCCTAGGCATTTCGTGACTACATTCTGTCATTGCTTTTTAATATGGGTGTTTGGTTTACTTCCCAATCATTGCCCCAGTAGTCCTGGACTGGGTGGATAGGGCGATTTACGTGACGCCCTATATTCACTAGATATTTGAGGGCCCGCACCTGCCTCGAGCCTCGATTGCAGACCCGTCCATTCGCCATCGACGAGTATCTTTTCGACAACTGTGCGAGACAT